CTACTGAGTAAACCTGTCTTGAAAAAAAAAAAAAAAAAAAAAAAAAAAATCCCAAAACAACAGAAAAACCCCAAACAAAAAACCAATTAGAGTAACATATCTTCACAGTGTACAAAAAGATTATCCCACAACATTTTAGGTTTTTTGGAGGGTTGGGCAGGGGACATGACAGGATCTCACTGTGTATCCCTGGCCATTTTAGAACTCACTCTGAAGACCAGGCTGGCCTCAAACTCATAGATCCACTGCCTGGCAGGTTTTGCTTTTTAACTTAAATTTTATATTATCACTTTAAAATGTTTCTTAGATGTTTGCAGTTTGTTTTACTCAGGATATATTATTAAATCTAATCTTGATTATTTTTATGATTATTATTTTTATTGTTATTCTAAAATAGGTTCTGTGTGTAGCCCTGGCTAGCCTGGAAGTAGCTCCCTATAATCTCAAAAATAAATAAAGGGTACCTGCAACATTCCTATTTACACCAACAGTAATATTCTTAGGCTCTGAGAGCTTATTAGCAAAGTAAATTTGTGGTGGAGACAGGCACCCCACATCATCATGGATGCGTCTGTCTGGCCTCAGGGAAGCAGTTGTAGTTTCTTTTTCTTCCTGTAGATGGCAGAGTTTCCTCTGGAGCCAATGCTCTGCAAAATGCTCATCATGTCTGTACATCTGGGCTGTAGTGAAGAGATGCTGACTATCGTGTCCATGTTGTCTGTGCAGAATGTCTTCTACCGACCCAAGGTAAGGTGCTCAGCCCCATGTCCGAATGGGTGTTGTGACATCAGCCTGTGCTGTGTTGTTTGTTGGAGATGCTGTGACAAGGGTACCCATACATTTCTATGCTAGCTGTTCACTTAGTAGTTGTTGGGTAAGGAATGACTTTCTGTCCTACTGCTTGGCAGGATAAACAGGCCCTTGCAGATCAGAAGAAGGCCAAATTCCACCAGACAGAAGGGGACCATCTTACCTTGCTGGCTGTGTACAACTCCTGGAAGAACAATAAATTCTCCAACCCATGGTGCTATGAGAATTTTATCCAGGCTCGTTCCCTACGCCGGGCCCAGGACATTCGCAAGCAGATGTTAGGCATAATGGACAGGTCAGTCAGGAATGGGTGGCGTTAGTGTTTGGGTCGTCATGTCTCCCTGGGTTGTATGACTGCTCATCTCCAGTTGTATCTGCATAGTTGCAGGTACCTGTGTGCTTGTTTCTCACAGAACATTTTTCCTACAGTGGTCATCTTACTTCTGGCTGTCTCCCTGTAGGCAGGCGTGTGGCTAAGGATAGCTTCAGAAACTTCCTAAGAGGAAGATAATTTAAGTAGTTAAGAATGCTTTGCTGGCCAGGCGGTGGTGGCGCACACCTTTAAGCACTTGGGAGGCAGAGACAGGTGGATCTCTGAGTTTGAGGTCAGCCTGGTCTTCAAAGTAAGTTCCAGGACAGGCATGGCTACAGAGAGAAACCCTGTCTTGAAGGGAGGAAAAAAAAGAATGCCTTGTTTACAAGCTTCTGGATCCTTAGTCTGGGTTTGAATTCTTGCCTGAGCCAAGCGTCTGGCTTTTACTCCCTTCACATTGCCCACTGTGTCCAGTGCTGCCTCTGTAGTGCACTGCTCACTGAGCAGGCTCACGCCTTCTGTGCTCTTGCTGTCTGATAGGCACAAGCTGGATGTAGTCTCCTGTGGTAAGTCCACAGTCCGAGTGCAGAAGGCCATCTGCAGTGGCTTCTTCCGGAATGCTGCCAAGAAGGACCCGCAGGAGGGCTACCGAACACTAATTGACCAGCAGGTGGTCTACATCCATCCTTCCAGTGCGCTCTTCAACAGACAGCCAGAATGGTAGGTGGCATGTCCTGGCAGAGAGGACTCCTAAGACTCTGCACCCTCACTCCTCATTCTAGAATTTCTAGTCGCAGAAACCCAAAGTAGGCACACCACCAAGCTCCCCATTTTTTCTTATTTGTTTGTTTGTTTGTTTGTTTGCTTGTTTATTTATCACATATACAGTGTTATACCCAGGCCAGAAGAGGGCACCACGTTGCATTATAGATGACTGTGAGCC